CCCCGCTCCGCCCGCCCGGCTGGGTCCGGCCCGGCCCGGCCCGCCGCCACCTCCCGGCGACCGGGCTGCAGCAGCCGTAATTGGATCCGCGCCGCCTCCTCCCTGCTCCCCGCCCCCAATCGGGGAGCCGGATAAATGCCGGGTACCTTGGCAAAACAGTCGGATCCAAACCTATTATTTGGCTAATGGGCTTCCCTCGTGCGGCGCGGCCCCGCCCTGCAGGCCGCCCCTCCCCCACCCGGGGGCCGGTCCCCGTGCCCCCCACGCCCGCCGCAGGAGGGGCTCGGCCCGGCTCCGGATAACTGGAGGAAGCGCGGTTCCGAGGCTTCAAGGGCCTCATTGTTCTGCCTCGAGGGGCACATTGAAAATGCTCCAGGATTTGCTTCCTGTGAAAACAGCCTGGGAGGGAGGGGGCGATTCACGGTGGAAAGACATTATCCTCCTGGAAGCTGCCCAGATTACGCAGGGAGAAAAGGGTTGTTTTGATTGTTGCTGGCGCTTTCTTTCCTTCTTCCTTTTTCTTCCTTTCTTTCTTTTTCCTTTTTTCCCTCCCCTCCTTCTCTACCCTCCCCCGGGCCAAAGATGAATCTTTACGGCTGTTGAGCAAGTTGGAAATGTGGGGCTGTTTTCTGCATAAATAAGGCTGCTGAATGGCAGAGCCAGATATAAAGTCTGATTCAGAGAAATTCAAAAGAACGCAGGGGCGATGAGGTGGGCAAATCCAAGAAACTCATTTCCCCAGCATGCCCCTCTGAGTCACATCTTGCACCATGAGGGGAAAACACATCACGCCACAATATGTCACATGCCTGCAGCAAAGGAACAGGCCCGGTGGCGGTATGGCTGCTTCTTCCACAGCCTGGGTCAGCACGTCCAGTCTCACGCGGGCCCAAGGTCAGCTGCCAGCAGGGGTCAGCCCCAAGGAGGGGCCCCTCCAGAACCCTGCTCTCCCCCCTCCTACCTGAATGACCTTGGACAGTAATAATAGTAATGGGGACACTCAGCACAGCACTTCCTACGTGCCGGGCCCTGTTCCGCATGTGTTGCATTTATCATCTTATTTAATCCTCATCTCAACCCTAGAAAGCAGGTGCTTTTATGATCTCTACTTCCGGGTGAGGAAGCTGAGTCCAGAAAGGTTCAGGCGCTGCCTGATGTCACACAGCTAAGTAGGCTGGGGGCCAACCTGGCAGGCCGGCTGTAGAACGGGTGGATGATCTTGGCCACTGTGCTGATGCTTCTGAACCTCACGCTCCTGACCAGGAAGTGGAGATAAGGACACTGGGCCTCACTCAGCAGGAGGCTGGGAGGACGCATTTAGAGCTCCCTCCAAGCCCCCTCTGCCCCCCGCCCAGGGCTGTTGCTGGACACTTCTGGGCCTTAGCTCCTTTTGGTGCCATCATTATTTTCATGTAAACAAGGGGGCCAAATAAGGACAGTGTCTTCCTAAAGTTTAGGATTGTCTTGAGGGCTGGTGGAGACTGAGCAGTCATCCCTGGCCCAGTGTCTGCCCTTCCCAGATGCCCTTTGAGTATTTCTTTTCTTCTCTTTTCCTTTGCCTACTTCTCACCCAACCTGGAAGATTCTTCTCGGCTAAAACTTCTCCCACCTACTGTCCGTCAGAGAACCACACACCTGCTTCTGTCCGAATCCTCACCCGCTATTGCCCGCCCGTATCAAACTGTGTGGAATTTCCCACAGACCCAGAGCACTGGCCCGACCTGGGCCCAGCCTGAGCGCCCTATTTTCCACCGCAGCTCATTTCCCCCGCTGCCAGCCCCGCTCTGCTCGCAGAATTCTGGGACAATCCGTCATACCCTGCCCTGCTGCTGCTTTTTTCCATGGCCTCATCGCCCTCTCGTATACTCTGAGATTCACTTCTTGCCTGTCCTGTTACTCCTTCTGTCTCTCCCCCGACCCCCAGCGATATCATAAGCCCCATGAGGGCAGGGGTTATGGTTTTGTTCACTGATATGTCCTAAGTACAGAGAACACTTCCTGTCTCGTCAAAAACCTCCATAAATACTCGTGGAATGAACGACGGGCCTCGGCACAGCTGTGCCCTCTTGCTGTGCTCTCTTTCCCTTTCCTCAGGGAAACTCCTGCTCATCCCATAGGCCCCCGCCTCTCTGAAAGCTTGCCCCCCTGCCTCGTGCCCCTTCCTCCTTGGTGGTGGCTCCAGGGCACCCTCTTTTGGTCACTCCCCCCTGCTCTGTACCTCACCGTGCCTGGCCCACCCCGTTCCCAGCCTCCCTTCTGGAACTCACTTCCTTTAACAACACCACCTCTATCCTTGGCCTTCCTCCAGTGGAAACCTTTTGTAATACCTCATCCCCCGAGTGCTCTCTGGGGAGGGTGTTTCTGCCCCATCTCGCTTCCCTGAGTGGTACCCCCCGGCGTCCCCACACTCTCTTCATGCCCCTGCAGGTGTTTCAGACCATGATTCCATCAAGGCCACATGACGGAGGTTTTCCCCCTTGGCATTTATGCCACCTGACTCCACCACCATCTCCCTCTTTTCACCCTCAGACTCCACTTTGCCAGTCCCCTACTTGACACTTCTGGCCACCTAGCCCCGGACCACTGTCTCTCCTCCCCACCCCACCCCCCAAGGCATGCCATCAGCTTGGTAGCCTTCAGCATCCGTGTGAGTGACGTCAACAGCTGGACTCTCCCGAGCTTCAGCTTCCTCTCTCCAGGGACCTTCTCCTGGACCCAAGTTCACCCCTGACCCCCCACCTTCGACCAGGCCATCACTCAGCCTCTCGTCTTCTTCCATTTTAACCCCACCATTGCTTTCTCCTCATGACCTCTGTCCGTTCTGCCCCCTTCCGTTTCTAGAGTCGCCAGCCTTCGTCAAAAACATTAAGGTCTTCGGATGTGACCTTCTGTCTCTGCCCGGTCTCCAAACACAGCCCCACACCTGGCCAGATGACCCTCTGGCTGGAATCAGAGGGCAAGAAGGTCCCTCTTCCTTCCAGAGGAGCCACCCTCCCAGTTGTGTGCCGGGCCCACCCCCTCTAGAATGTCCATCAGTCACCCTGGAATCTCCCTCCCCGTCAGGAGCCCCGCTGCAGTCCCCACAGTTACACGCATGCTCACTGCAGCCGTACCTCCTGACATCACGCTTTCTGTGGAGCCTCCTACCACCCGCCCATCCTTAATCTCCTGTGGGGCCTTCCCTTCCTCCACCCACCCCCTAAAGTCAGGGTCAGTGGGGAGGGGTCCCCGCCTCCCTTTCGAGGTCTTCCTGTGCCATCTGGCTCCCCCGTCCGTGCCCACCATGACCACGTGCCCATCGTTGCCAAATCTACTTTCTAGCTCAAGGCCTCTCCCCCGCCCACCCTCCAGACCCCGGGTCTCCAACCGCCCCCCGGGATCCTGTCGCCGCCTTCACGCACACATCACTGGCACCCAAGACTCACCCTGTCTCAACCTGAGATCAGCCTTGAGTTTGCCCTGCCCGCTGGATTCCGTCAGCCGGCTGCACCCCTGCTGGGCTTCTGACAAGGCCGGCCTTGACTCTGCCTCTCCCTCATCCCGCCTGGCATCAGTCACCAGGTCCTGACAACTTGCCCTCCTAGATGTTTCACAACGCAGTCCTCTCCCCTCCATCCCCACACTACCACAGCCCAAGGTCAAGCCCTCCTCCCCTCCCCCTGGGTTATTACAACAGGCTCCCCAGCCTCCTGCTTCGGCTCCCTCTGAGTCAGCCGCCTCGCTACTGCCAGGACCATATTTTAAAACACAAATCCAAACAAGCCACTCTGCAGCTTAAAAAAAACCTGTAGATGAACTCACACTGCAAAGGGTGACCCATCGGGCTCCAGACGTGACGGGCCCCCCCCCCCCCCACTGAGCCTTCCAGTATCTGCTCATTCCAGCCTTGAGCTGGGGTGTGTGTTATCACAGCATAAAGCAGCCCTCACTTCGCGCAGCTTCATGCCGCCCTGGTTTTGTCCACGCGGTTTCGCCTGCTGACGGTACCCTGCCACGTTTTCGGTCAGCTTAATTCTCTCTCATCTTTCAAGACTCATCCCAGGCGCCTCCTCTTCCGGGAAGCCTTCACTGCCTACCCCTCCTCCCACTGGGGCTAGACTCTCTGCTCTGGGTGTAGGATTTTTCTGTTAAAAACAGTTGTTTAGCGGGGCCTTCTCTCCACAAATTATGAGTCATTCTCGATACCTGTATTCTCAGCACCCAGAACCTATTAGGTGCTCACGGAGGTTAAATGGAGGGAAGAAGGATGCCGGGCACAGGGTGGGTGCCCAGAGGCTCAGGGTGGCTCCTTCCTCCACCCTCTGAAAGTCTTGAAAATGTTACATCGTGTTTCCAGTGGGGGAGGGGTGAGCTGAGGGTTACCATCGCAGCTCTTTTTTTATTTTATTTTATTTTATTTTATTTTATTTTATTTTATTTTATTTT